ATATACTATGGCGCTCGCTCAGCCATAAAATGTCATAAACAAGGCCAGGGAGTTGTTATTTAAGTTGTTTATTAAAATAACAACTCCAGGGCAAGGCAGGCGTGGTAGAACCGCCTTGTTTATCCTCCATGTTACGATCGTTTGCATCCAGCGCCGACCTCATTCAATGAGATGGCTGTCAGTTGAGTAAATAAATTTCAACAAATTAACGAAATCAGAAATCACATATGGATGGGGCCCCAAGTTTTCGCTGCGAAGATTTGGAACAGAATCGGTGCATAAAAAATACTTTTTCTTTCAAGTAAGCTTCAGTTCTTTAATAACAATACTAAAAAAATTATAGTTAATAGGTTTTGGTACTAAGCAGTCTTCCGAAAAATGAAGTTTATTTTAATATAGATCCCGAAATACATGTAGGGCTTAGGCCTAGGCTCTATCTGCACTGCAGGGTATGTACTGTATGGTGTTGTGTTGGGTGGGCGTCTGTGTGTAGTGGTGGTCGTGACTCGGCGGCCTTAGGGCTAGTTACGCACGTATAGATGGAGCCTAGCGAGGCAGGATTTAATGTTTTTTCATGGCATTATGTACCAGTTATTATAGGCTAAACATATGTAAATGCTGACTTAAAACATGTAGTATGATTTACTAACTAAATTAAAATATATATATATATATATTTTTTAATTTTTCAGCAAACGTGTGAATCTTGCAAGTTGCAGTTACCTTGCTAGAATTCTATGTTCTTTGATGAGATGTAATTAATCAGCCATAGCTTCTAACATGCCAATGAACCAAGCAAAGCCTTGTTGACTGCTGCCAAGAACGCTTTACTAGCAAAATGCTAAATAATATTATTTATAAATTTATATTTTAGGCCAACTGCAATGTGTAAACAAATGTAAAATTGTTAAATAAAAGTAAACAAATTGATGAAAATTGTTTGTTTCTTCATTTTGTGTAATACTTTCATGTTGCACAGCGCGTTGTAAGGCGTCACAGTGCGTCGCTACAGGAGGCGATCGCTTCATGAAAAAAATCTCCCTATTTTTTGGTGTTCAAACTTGGGATCTCTGATATATATAATTTAAAATAAAAAAGTCAACACAATATAAGTCAAACTGGGTTCAAGTGCTTAAGTGTCGTAATCAGCACATGAGCAGCCAACACCACCAGGTACCCATTTATATTCCTGTTATTTATTGTTTATCAGGGAACTGTGAAATTTTAGTGTTCCATGTTGTTTATTAACACTGTGTTTCTTTCACAGCCAACATTTGCAATGCTTCGCTTTAACAATGTAAGTATACTGAATACTAATCAATATCATTTTGTTTTGTCTGCATCATCATAGTCATCCTTATGATCATCATTATCATCATCATCATCATCATCATCAACCTCTTCCTCACCAGTATCCTCACTTTACCTGCTGTTGATAATACTGCCAATGCCTCAAGCATAACACTCTGGGTGCTGGCATCCATCTTGCTACCCACCATGCTCTCCAAGATAACCTCATGTACACCTTCAGTCAGACACTGATTACGAAAAACATCTACAAAAATATATAAAAACGACAATATATTCTCTGGCGCTAAAACATTTTTTGATTTTCTAGAAAATAGTTCTCAAAGAAAGCTATAGAGAAGTTAAAAGACATATCACATAAAAGGCGACCTCAGAAAAATTAGGGAGATTGAGAAAGTAGGATGGGAAAACGCATTAGGATAAGAGTATAGTTGGTGTGAATCACAACAAGGATAACCAACTAAGTTCAAAGATGTTTCCAGTGGGGTCCTTCTGGTGGTAAATTGGGCAGAACACTGGGAGACAATCCAGTACTTTGCTGAAGAGTGTAATGCGTTCTGTAACGTGCACATGGGCTATATTGCACACAGGACCAACGGAAACCTAGAGATCTCCACGGTTCGGTGAACACACAGTGGCTGCCACCAGTTTAACCGACTGAGCTAAGCTGCTCGCAATTCACTCATCTGTGACTGTCTACTTCTAAAAAACATCCAAAATCGATTTTGGATGTTTTACGACGCGTAAGCGACGATGTCGCAAATGCAAAGACAGATGCACCACACTCCTTTTATTTTCCAACAACCTTTAGTGGAGTTAACAAGGGCTCCATGCTTTTTAAACAGGAGCAATTCCCCACCCCCGCCCCACCCAGAAGCTGTCCTTTTGCGATGCCACCACTGCATATATACCAATGTAGTAGAAGATTAAAGATGATGTTGTGAACTCAATTACCCTCATCCCCATTAGGAAGGAAAGATCTTGGCATTTGATTGTTTATGTGCTCATTTTTTATTTTTGTTTGATTCCACCCATATATTGCAAATGCTAGTTTTATACCTTAAATTATTATGACTTGCTAAAGCTACAATCATCTATAATCAAAATCAACATAAATTAATTATACTTTGTTATCTCTTTGAAATATCTGTGATTAGGAAGATAAGTAGCTTACCATTTTCAGCTAAACATGTGACCAGTTGAATTGCTGCTGTCACAAGGGTAGGTTCAGACCAATGTTGGCGTACTGCTGCAAACACTTCATGCAAAGTTTGTACAGATTGAATCAGGTGCTCTTTGTGCTTCTCACTTTAAATGTGATAATTCAATATCATTTTAATATAAAAACAGCAGCAACAACAATAGCAATATTAATAATAATAACAATAACAATAATAACAAACAATAATAATAATTTATAAAAATAATAATATGAATCATGATGGCTTGTATAGCATTAAACAGAGTTTGCTTAGGAATATTAAGGTAAGATACAGTAGTCGAACCTATTGAGGCGGGAGTGCCCATCTGTCTTTCTTTAGAGTTTTGGGCCACACTGAGCAATGATATAAGGAGATCACCACGGACCTATTTACAGTGAGTCTGTTCACCTTCCCAGCCTATGCCTACACTTTTATACTCCTGGGTAAAGGAACAAGCATAAAGTGTCTTGCCCAAGGACAAAAGCAACTTGCCCATACTGTCTTATGAGATGCCAAACTTGTCAATGAACCATTTGTTTAGTCTACTAGATACACAAGATTCTAATCATACTCAAAATGAATAGTTAGGATTGTCTCTGTCTATGTTTATCAAGTTTCTGTATTTTATATTTACTTTATTTTAAGCTATTTTAATTGTAAAGATTTTTGAAATAGTATAACTAGTTTAATGATCAATGTGTACAAAATGGTTTACTTAAAAATGATGATATAATTAGACATACAATATAAAACAGAAATTATATTTAACAAAAAAAACTTACCATACAGTAGTTACACAGTTACCAAAAGTAGTTACAATTAGTTATGCGAGGTACAAACATATATGTTAATGGTAAATGATATAGTACAAAAATGTGTATTATACACATAGTTCAACACTTAATAATTCCTTTAGTATCTAAAAAACCTACCAGCACTCACATTAAAAGAAGGTATTTACTTTACATGTTATCTTTTTAGTATATTCACACTATTCCAGCACATGAAATTCCTATAATAGAGACAAACCTCACTCCCATCCACCACCCCCATCCCCACCCCAACCGCAACCAGTCGTACCAAGGGGGGTATAAATACCTCCTTGGTCGTACACAACTTCACTACTGGGACATATATTTTTAATACCTAATACAAATGAGATAAAATGAAACTTACTTTGAGTTACAGAGGCCTAGAAGAGCTTGGCATGCTGCACTTAGTACAAATGGATTCTGTCCATACATCTGCATGGTTCTTGTAATTTCAAAACCAACACCTTTTTCCATTAGACTCTTTTGAAAGTGTTCTAAAGAATTTAATAAGTTGGAATGATAAACAATAGCAACAAACCAAAGAAAAACAAAATTTCAAGTGCAAATGAAGTCTGGAAAAAGACTACCGATAGTCGTCCTATTAAGGCAGGCACACTCGCTGTGTCATACGACCGTAGTATGACGAATGCAACTCTTCCCCCCTGTGAGCGCTAGATGACGCAACATCGTTGGCTGATTGTCGGTGGCAGTCTTAAAACGATCCGCATGCTCGTCGTGGTCTTATGTTCTCCATAGAATCGCGTTGGCCGACGACCATTGGGTACAGTGATTGCCCAGCTTTAGTACACTAACTTTCATAGCGCTCCTTCATCAGGCATACCGTAAAACCTTGAATTGAAGCCCTCAGCTTTTTTTTTTTTGCGAACTTTGAATGGGCTTCTTTACGAGATGGGCTTCTTTTTGAGTCTACCTTTGCAAAGTTTTCAAAATGAATGCTGTAATATTTGGGAATTAGTACTATAAAGCAATAAATAGGGCCACTGTAACATCAATCTGTATCATGGAGTGTATTAACCGGAATTAAAGTACCTAAGCTACAGTATAAACCAAGTGTATTTTTATTTTATTTTATTTCTTTAAAATTCATGTACAGTGTATGTACTGTACTATTTCGAAAAGAAGTCTATGCTATCTTGAATGGGCTTCTTTTTTAGGCTAATTTTGCAGACCAAAGATAGGGGCTTCAATTCAAGATGGGCTTCTTCTTGAGATTAATCCCATTTGGCTTCAATTCAAGGTTTTAAGGTATACAATTAGTCTACAAATCAATCAATCTATCTATCAATCTTTCTATCAACCAATCAATCAATCAAACTTTAAATCTGCCATAAGAACTGGGACAGTACCAATATAAAGTAAGATAATATCAAATTTCATTCAAGTTAAGCCAAATTTAATAATTCCATCACCAATATAAAGTGTTTTGTCAAAGGAGCTAATAAAAAGAATTACTTTCTATTAACTTTTATTAAAATTATATGTAAAATACAGAAGGGTGTACAACATTTCATTCTTCAAGAGTTCTTATTCACCCATAGGCCAGATGATTCCCAAATTGTAAAAATATTTTTTTTTTATTCCATTGTATTTCTTTGTATTTACTTTTAAATGTTGGCTTTTAACGGTTTGGAGAATCACTAGATAGTTGATTATATTCACCATTTTGATCATCCTGTCTTCCTCTTAATAGTTTGCTTATTATGTGCATTTCTTTGTGTTACAAAGACGAAATAAATGAAGTGAAATAAAATTTATTTTCTAAGGACAATTTTCTCCACATCAAAGACAACTTCAAAGCATTCAAAAAATGCTAAGCCCTAAGCAAAACACAGTGATCCTATGGAGAACTAATCTAAAGAGCACCAGGAGAAACAAAGAAACCTTACCTGAGCATGTCATGATCTGATAGAGGGCGGTACAGGCTGATTCTGCAACATCTGCATTCTCCATGTATAGCATGAGGCAAGCTAGTATAGGACTGTCCAAGCTCAAACTGAAATACAAAAAATATATAATTGTGTGTGCGAAGTTGAGTGGTTAAAGTTATAATCTATTCAGCTATGGAGGGGTTACAGTTAGGTGTGAGTTGTAACATGTTTATAGTATCTATGCTACAATCGTATAGCTCAGTCCACAATATCATGTGACAAATTTGTCATATACAGTTTTATAGTGTATGTGACCACACTATCAAACTGTATGTGACAAATTTGTCTTAATTATAGTGTTTGATAGTGTAGGTGACAACACTATCAAACTGTATGTGACAAATTTGTCATACAGTTTGATAGTGTATGTGACAACACTATCAAACTATATGTGACAAATTTGTCACATACACTATCAAACTGTATGTGACAAATTTGTTACATAAACTTTCAAACTGTATGTGACAAATTTGTGTGATGTGCCCATATAATGGGCATAATGTCATATTACACCCACAATACCGATAGTGTGGCACACAAAACTATAAGATCTACAATAATGAAAAAAAAAAAAACAATTTTGTTAAAGCCGAACTTTAATAATACTACACTAATTAATACAAAGCCCATAAGAATATTTTTAGGAAATTCAACATTTGGTCAATCATAATTAATTCCATTTCAGTTGTTTATTCGACAAACATACACTAAAAATGACAGTACATAATATGGGTTGTAGCTGTAAAAAACTAAGGGTGCGTGATAGACTATTTTAGGGTGGATGGGTGATAAAATTGGTAAACTCTAAATAATATGAATGAATTTTAAGGATGGAAAATTGGGTTAAAGGGTGGGTGGAGGGCCATGAAATTAGCTTTAGACTGGGTTGAAAATTTCAAGGCTAGATGGCCCCGCCTACCTCCGCCAACAATAACTAAATCCCTGCTAGTTGGTGGAGGCTTGGGACTATTCTCCTCTGCCTTGTGTCGGGAGGCAGTCCCAATCATTCAACACCTCAAGAAGCAGGATGCACTTCTTCACCTCAACCAAGTTGTATTTGCATAATATTGTGCTTTCTAGCTAAATGATATCAAGTTTTTTAGATGCTAGTATAAAACTTACTTTAAATCTTCATCAACAGTCTTTGTAATGCATTCTGGTCTATCTATCAGTAGCCTTACTATAGATCTACAAACAGCATCCTAAAAAAAATGATACCAAAAGAAAATTGAATAAATTTTGTAAAAGAATTATTATTTTTACATTTTAATAAATACAAAAGGTTAACTTAGCTGAATTTGTCTTAAGATATCATCATAATCATCATCATCACTCTTGTTCCTGTCTCTTATACACATCTGTGTTCTAAAGAATTTAATAAGTTGGAATGATAAACAATAGCAACAAACCAAAGAAAAACAAAATTTCAAGTGCAAATGAAGTCTGGAAAAAGACTACCGATAGTCGTCCTATTAAGGCAGGCACACTCGCTGTGTCATACGACCGTAGTATGACGAATGCAACTCTTCCCCCCTGTGAGCGCTAGATGACGCAACATCGTTGGCTGATTGTCGGTGGCAGTCTTAAAACGATCCGCATGCTCGTCGTGGTCTTATGTTCTCCATAGAATCGCGTTGGCCGACGACCATTGGGTACAGTGATTGCCCAGCTTTAGTACACTAACTTTCATAGCGCTCCTTCATCAGGCATACCGTAAAACCTTGAATTGAAGCCCTCAGCTTTTTTTTTTTTTGCGAACTTTGAATGGGCTTCTTTACGAGATGGGCTTCTTTTTGAGTCTACCTTTGCAAAGTTTTCAAAATGAATGCTGTAATATTTGGGAATTAGTACTATAAAGCAATAAATAGGGCCACTGTAACATCAATCTGTATCATGGAGTGTATTAACC